AGATGATTTCTTAATAAATGAGATCCTGAATTTTATGCAGTAAACCTTAATAACATAAAATGAAGGGATACTTTCCTGGAAATCTAATAGAGTGCTTTTTTGCTAGCATCAAAGTGCTATGCAAAAATATGAAATGAATAAACAAATTAAATTAAAAAGCCTAGCAACTGGAGAAATATTGGCCTAGATTCATGCCTTATGGAACAGCAGCAACACTGATGAAGTACAACAGAGATGGATTTGGCCCACTACGTTTTGAGCATTAATTTGATCAGGAGCAGTGAGTCAAAAATGCAAAACCCATGCAGCGAAGAACTTTACTCTAGCACCATTGTGAGCACAAAGCACAGCAGTGTGGATTAGTAAATGGTAAAAATGCAAAAGCTAAATATTTTTGCAAGTAAAAAATATCATTACAGAGTATAAAATAAACAGCAATGTTAAGAACAGAGATGAGGTGGAGGCTCACTGTCTTGAGAAAGACAATTTTTTAAAGTTACTTCAGTGGTCCTCTCTACCTAAAGACCCCAGGCAGCCTGCCCGCCAGTTGCGGAGGCTGCCCTGCAGCTTGCAGCACACCTCCCGTGCGTGCTGAGGGACAGACCAAGGCGCAAAGACTCAGCCATACAGCGGTGTGCTGCCAAGCCCCAAAGAAGGCTGTTGACACAATGGGACAGGCCTACAGCAGTAAGTTGGCTACCTGTGAAGGAACCTAGGCAAATCAAAGACACCGCAACTCCTCCCTCTTTTTCTGTGCATCTACATGAGAAGGCTGTGCATACCATTTGCCAGTCCCTGCCTAGCTGTCACCTGACCAGTGGCAATGATGGTGTGGAAGCCCACCTTCCTGCACCCTTTACCATCCAGGAAGGATTCAGAAAACCCATGCTTGTCCACTCACCTACCTGTCTGACCCTCCTAGCCTGTCTGCTGAGACAGAGAGGCTGCTGAAGGACTATCACGGCGGTGCTTCTTCCCAGTACAGGTATTGATCATCTCAGGAAAGAAGATACCAACCATTTTGGACTTCTCAGTCCCTGCTACCTGCACAACTTGGATTCAAACATGGCCACACAGAAAAAGCCCTTACATTCCCCACCCTCTCCTAGCTCAAGCCAGCAACTCTTAAAACTCCACTGAGCAGTTTTCAAAAGTTTTCCCACAAGGCCTATGTTTGCCCTTCAACAGCCTTGGGCAGTCACAGCAGAAAGGCAGACAGCACCTTTCTACCATCAAATTTATTAAAACTAGTGGTTCTGTCCCCTGCCCAAAGTGCAGTAATGCAGGCATGATCTGGACTACTATCTGCAATCAACTACAACCACTAGGAAGAGTACTAGAAAACCTACTACATGACTGGTTGGGAGGGGAAAAAAACCTGTCACTTGTCATAAAAAAGAGAAACAGAAATGGGTTTGAAACATTCGTTTCCCTTTATTTGCTCAGTGAGGCTGATGTGTACTGCACATTAAAAAAAAAAAATCACAGGAATTTTCATACAATGAATTAAACCACAAAAGTACATGTAGAATTGGCAAGTGGAAAAACGCCCAGCTTGGGCTCAACTAATATATCACTTTCCCTGTTCAGCATAGTCCAACCAATAGCTTTACATGTTCATCTACTGTACAAGTCTTACAGTAGCTCCATCAGATCAGTGGTTCACATTATTGAAAATGTCTGTCACATAGGCACAAATTTAGAATCACCACATTATATTACATGGCTACTCTAGGTCATTTATAGATCAGATCTTTTACTATAGTGATTGAAGTTCTCATTACAGCCATCAAAAAGGACACATAATCATTACCTACTGTAAGCTTACATCTAAAGAGATGAGAAGAAGGTGTGGTTGTTTTTTTTTTTTCAAGTGACCCAAGTATTGTACCCCAGAGGCATAAACTTTCCTCTCAGTGATGCTCGCGGTGATGGTAGCCCAACTGCTTTCCAGAGTAGTTTAGCACAGGTATTTTTCTTCGATTTTAGGCTCCCTCTGTTTGGATTTGGATAATTTTATGTTATGTAGGAATTACTTTGTTACAACTCTAGGAAAGACCATAGTTTCTAAGTATCGGTTCTGTTACCTGTATTGCAGATGTGGTACTTACCACAGCATGAAAGCAACAGTACAGTCTTCATCTAAAAGACACACAGAGCTATGTTGCAATTTGCCTCCGGTGACAATGTGGTACGTGTGCTAATTTGAAATGTTCTTGGGGGACAAAAACAAAGAAAAGGAAACAATGAGTTTATATTTTGATAGGTTACCTACTACAGTGTCTACAAAGGATACAAATAGCTTTATTCAGCAATCCTAGCTCTACATTAATTTCATATGTAATTGGTAAATCCACAGAGGAAAGCCATCTTCAAGATCAGAACATTTGCCAGGCCAGTGAAAAAAAAAATTGACTCATGTCATTACGCCTGCTTGGTGAAAAATAAATAATCCCCCCCTCCAAACCCCACATCAATTTATTCATGTCAGCAATCTAGGGCAAAACAGAATGTATTTAAAAGTTAATCACAGAAATTTAAAGGCAAAATAGGTAATGTATCTGGTCCTTGAACACAGAATATGATATACTAAATATTGATTTCTTAAAAATAATTTATTGCTTTTAATATTTTTCTTTACAACAGAAGATACTCAAAATCGAGAAAGGAAAATTGTAAACTTTTAGTTTGGCATTCACACAAAGTTAAAATACCTGCATTTTTAACCTACAGAGCAACAACAAGAATTATGCAGATTAAAGAATGTTACAGTCGTAACACAGAACCTCTGAAAAAGTTCTTTTCTTTTCTTTTTTTTTTTTTTTTTTATTGCTATCTATCTACTGAGAAATAAAAAGCCAAAAAATCAAGCAAGCATCCGACAGGACAGACAGTGGAATCTCTCAGAACACAATATGCTGGTGATAAAATGAATGCAGCCATCAAAATCAACTGCACTGGCATGGAGGTGGAATCGGTTTTCTAAGATTGGGAGTGGGAAAGGAGATTAAATAGTTAGGTGTGCCATACCTTTAAGAGGAGTCATGAATGCCAAACAGTAATATAATACCAAATCTATACATTCGCAAGCAAATTCCAAACTTTGCTGATTCAGTCTAGAGACTCCGAGTTCAGATGAAATTCTGATGCTCAGAATAGCAGTAGTATGCTCTTGTGGTTTTTTTCTTTCCTGAAGTTTCTATTTAATTTAGCAGAAGCAATGTCATCAGCAACAATGTCATGGGCACATCTGAGGCCATGCTAGTGCATAGTAAAAAAAGAAAAAAACCCAACCCACTGCTTCTGCAAAAGCTGAGTTCCCAAATGAAGCACTTACCCCAAACTGACAACCATCATGCATCCTAGGTATAAAATTTCCACTGGCCTTTTCATTATTTTAGTCATCTCATAATTTATAATAAATAGGATAATTGTAACTGATAAATATGTCTCTTTAGTAAACAAAGGAATGAAGGATCAGTATTTATACAGGATGCATAACTGTAAAAAATATAGATAAATACCATCATTAAACTCTGCCAATGAAAAGATTACTGGCTTCAAGAACAGTGTTTAGACACAGAATTACTGTAAAAATCATACTGTACTTAGTACTTCAGCATATTTTTATCAAATTAAAATCACAAAAATTAAAACAAAATAGCATTTTAAAAAGGTTTTTGACATCTAGTTCCAAAACTACTGTTGATACATAAAATAAAAACATTTCTTAATGATTACCCATTTGAGAGACTTTACATAAAATTATGATATCTCCTAGAAAAATTTAGATGAGAAAATTTCATTCCCCTAACAAATTCAGCGTACAAAACTGCAAAAGAAAATCAAGCAATGAGAAAAATGTGGAAAAATACTGCAGAAGTGGTTAATACCTTTTGGGCTAGGATAAGTCTTGACAAAATTCTCATATAAGCTCACCGAAGAAGGGATGAATGTGTGTAAAGCATTTTTGCACTCACACACACACATACACATATATACACGCACACCCTCACCCACACGCTTTTCTCTCTTTTTACAATCAAATATATATAAGCGTTAAGTTCAGCTTTCTACATATGTTAGTGTACAATAATTGTTTCACCTCATATAATTACATTTGAGTATTTTTGATTAAGAAAAATTCATCAGTTTTTGAAAAGAAGGCTGCATTTACAGTGCATAGCTGTAACAAAAAAGAACATCGTCATATAGTATGTACAGAAATAAAAATACTCCATTTAACATTTGTAAATACTCAACTACTTTAGAGAATACAGCAAATAAACTATCTGTGCACACACCCAGATAGTTATATCCAACTCTCATTAATAATGTAACACCATGTCCGCTCATTAGAATAAATCGTTGAACAAGCTGCACATTTGACCATTAACAAGGCTTTGAAAATTTTGCTGTGGAAGATCAACATTGTAGACATTTACATGGGTGTCAGAATTAAAAGATGAAACTTCAAAATGTTAGGGAAGCTTGAGCCTTTCATTTTCTCTTCTGCAAGGACTGAAAAAAAACCAAATCAACCCCCCCCCCAAAAAAAAAACCCCAAAGAAAAAAATAATCTTAAACCAAAGCTAAAACAGATTGTAGGCTTCTGGGACCTGGGGTTTCTTCTGGATTGTCATATTATCACTGTGTTGTGAGAAGAAACTTAATTTAAAAAAAAATAAATAATGCAGAGTCTGATTCCCAGACAGCAGCAGCCATAGTTCTCACTTTTTTTTTTTTGTCTGTTTTTGTTCTTTTTTTGTTAAAATGCAATATGTACAGATTTTGCAGTTCATTGTTGTACGTGTATCTCTGTGGAACTGCTGCCATGTCTCATGGTTTGCATCGAACTCGCGAGGAACGCCTGGCTCCCCTGCCACCAATCACTCGCGAAAGCAAAGCTGACACCCATGGACATGCGTGTGCTTACTGGACAGCCATCCTGCCTCTCCACTCGTTGAGCAGCTGTGTTCATGTAAACCATGGTTTGAACAGAGAGTGTAAAGTAGAAGTTCCTAAGTATGACTTTTAAATTGTCCATTATTGAAGGACGTGATGTCCGTGAGGTATTCGCCATCCCTCCATTTTCCTCAGGTGTGATGCATGTTACCTACGCAGGCTCCGCTGTGCCTCTTTAAGTAAACTATCAAAATCCATGGAGTCATACTTGCTTTTAGTGGAAGCAGGATCAAAATCATCTGAGTTTGAATCTGAAACCCAAAGAGACGCAAGTTCAGGTCAGAGGCAAGAACAGCTGGTGAGTACTTACACTGTTTTCTTTGTGCAACAGTACAAACGAAGCACTGAAGAAACAACCCACTTGTGACCACAGCTTCATAGGAATAGGATGATAAAAGCCCAGAAACGGTCATCAAAGAAACTTCACGTGTGGACAGAGCTTTCTGGTAAGAAGTAGGACTTAACAAAAGCAGTACACAACATTTGGGGGTTCATACCATAAATTGCATATACACACAGAGCAGGTAAACTCAAAACAGTTTCTCCAAGACTTGAGCACTGACACACTGCTGTGTATAGGTCTCAAAGCAGTCTGGATAATCTTGATAGATGCTTTACCCAAAAATCCACCATCGTTTTGCAATTGCTGTTTTGCAGAGGATACCACTGCTTCCACTTGCTCTGCCTCCAGGTCTTGTACAAGTCACTAGACCTCCCTGAATCTCTGTTTTTGCTTCCACTCTGATTTTTTGGGGTTTTTCTTGTTTAGAGTGTGAGCAATTCATGGCAGGGCTCTGCACCACCATACAAGCAATCTCAGGTGGGCTCCTCAGCTTTACAGCGTACGTGATAAGTCATAGCAGCAATAATGGTCCAGCTCCTGTGACCTGCGATACCTGCTCCAGCTTTGCTAGTTGGTCAGACACAGACGTCAGTCTGTTCCTAGCGCAGAGGAGGGATTGTATGTTTGTGGCCATACAGCTCCAGTACAGCAATCACTGAAGTGGCTGCAAGCACTGAATTTCCTTTTGGAGGCATCTCTGCCTCACACTGACTCTTCCTGGTTCCTGTGTCACAAATCCTTTATGTGAGTGCCCTTTTCTTGCCATTTCTTGTGTTGAATTAATGAGAATTCCCCATCTACCACTATAAGACACACTGTGCATTAAATGTTCATTACAAGTTCTGTTAAGACAGTATCTTCTCACAGAGGAGAGGTGTTAAACTTTTGACTACTATTTTCAAGTGTTTTCTTTCTTCTGTACTCAACCCAAGGCTGATTAATTCTCTCTGTCCTTGTACTAGCTCATGAATTTTAAAGTTCATCCTGCCATCTCCTCATGTATTTCTATCAGATACTCTGCAAAATACAGGGAATGCAGTCTGAAGTAGAGAAGCTCAAGCTGTCAGCAGGACAAAGTGAAAATACTCTGCTTACAGATACTCTGGGAATCCCACTCAGTATGGAGAGACCTGCCAGGGAATACTCCCAGTGATGAATAATGTTCAAGAGGGTTCCCTTCAGACAACTTATTTTAAACCCAAGATTTTCTGAGATACAGAGACGACCCTGGCTTCCACTGCTAAAGATAAGTCAAATCAAGTCAAGACTTCAATCTGTTTTTACTGTTTTTATCAGCCTACATTTCAACAAATGCCTTGCTACCTTTTATATTTTCAACACCAACCCTATATCTCTTCAGCAGTCATTTGCCTTTTCTTAGCTTTACATTATCTGTTTAGCCACTGAAGTGAATTATAGCATATTCATTGTGAACAATGTGCATCATCTTTATCATTTATTCTGAAAAGACATCAATTGGTTAGAAAAAATATATCTGTATTCACTTCCTGCATTGTACAAAGCCAAGGGCAGCACATACAAGATTTCATTAGCACTGAGTTATAGGGTTATGAGAGATTTTAATGACTCTGGTCATTTATTCACAAAAAACCACAATATCTGATTAATATAGATTCAACAGCAAAATGTCTGCTGCTATTTTATTCAGAAAAGAGTATCTCCCATATCTTTAGTCTATTTATACAGGTATCAGGAACGTTTAACATTTAATGAATACTTTACATTTTATAAGGTAATTAAATAAGAAGTGAGTTTATAATATATTATAATATTACAGAGGATGTTTTGGTAGCCTGCATGGTCTCTTTATGCATATAGTTAACACCAGCATTCCTACTGTAAGAGTTTGCACATCTCCAAACATCCTTGCAAGGGGAAACATCACACCTTGACCCAGAGCACAGGACAGAACAGTACATTTTTGCCCAGACAGTACTAGGACAGACCCAGATGTGTTATTGCAGACAGTATACACACTTGGGACTGGAGTTATCACAGCATAATGGTGTCTGGAGACTGCTATGCATAGTGCCTCACATCAGTGTGACAGCAAACACCAAGAGATTTGCTAAGCTCTCCACACGCTGAAGCCTCTTACATCATGACTGGAAGTCCCTGCAAGGAGACACCTTCACACATAGATGCTTATGCATGATGTGGGAACCACCAGTTGAGATCCATGGCCTTTGCTATATTGAGAGTCAGATTTGATCACAAGCCCTTCTAGCTTTCAAACCTGACAAACTATGAATTGTGTTTAAGGTGTGGCTCTGGCAAGTTCTACACATCTACAACACAAACTCATGGCAAAGTAAGAATCATAAGGGGGTTTTTTTCTGTGAGGCATCTACTTTGTTCTCTGTTTATCGCTCACATAAATAAATCAGGTATCACAACCAAGCAGTCACAGCACAGCAATGAACAGTAAAGCATGCAGGAGGTTTTTGTGGTGCTATCATTTCAATATGGAAATGTATTACTGAGTATTGGGCACTTATTTTTGATAATGATGGAAATATGCTTTAGAAGAATTTTCACAGTCTGAAATATCTGAAAGAAGCCAATTCAGATTAGAGCTCAGAGTAGTAGACTGCTATACTTCTTGCAGCAAGTGAAAACCACTTCCTTTAACTTCCTCCAATCATTTAAATAATATAAGCAGCAAACAAAAAAAGAAGCAAACCCTAAATTCTCCTGAGTTACAAGGTTCAAGTTAGGTGCTTTAATTCACACAGAGCAAAATACCTACCTAGGTCTGCATAGTTAGACTTGCAAAATTGCTTGCGTCCACAAAAGTACAGCTCAAAGTCAGGTTCATTTGACCTGCGTAAAGTATATCCATTTTCAAGAGCAGCAAAGGCGTCACAAGTATAGCGGTAGGTGATGAAACCATAGCTGTCTCTGCAATTGAAAAATACAGTTGTGAACAAAAGCTGAAAAGAGTTAATGCACATTAGTGTAACCCCTTCCTGAAAGCAAGGACTTGCGGGAGATCCAGCAGCGGAAATGCCAGAAGTACTGCATCCATTTATCAGCATGATTGTCCTGTCATGCAGCTAAATACTTATTTCTGCGACAGCAAATCTCAACTAGCAAGATTAATAAATAAGGATGAAAGAAAATAAATAAGGTTTTGAACTCAGCATGTCATCTGTCACAGCACTTACATTGGTAACTCCCATACCAGTAATCTTACTGCTACAATTTTTTACATATGGCAGCTCCCAAACAAGAAGTAATCTCAAAAGTTCTTACCCATCATCTCGCAAATTTACAGTGCACTCCTCAATTTCACCAAAAACTTCAAAGCGGTCCCTTAGTTCTGTTCGAGTTGTGTCAGGTCTGATTTTACCCAGATAAATCACACGATGTTCTTCCTGTTAAGAAGGAGCAACAGGGAAGGCATATTTTTAATGGATGTGTAATAAGGATGAACCTGTATATAAATACATGCAAATATACGCACATGGATGTGCAGAGGATGCATAATTATAGCCATAGCCTCCTGTGGAAGACCTTCTGCATCTTGCTAGTGAGTGAAATAGCTGTCTCCTGGAAAGCACCTAAGGTATTTAAATTACATTACATTTAACAGGTGGTATGCTCCTGGAAGGCTTCACTGCTTGCTCTCACTGTTCTGCTTCATACTGACAGCTCCCTTTGTATCCTACTGCACCTTCTTCCCTTCCACCCTTCCTACTACTTCACCTCCAAGACTGTAAACTCCTCCAAACCAAGAGCTCCCTTTCTCTTGCCATCTATACAATACTGGGCAAAACCCATCTTAGTTGTGGAGTAATATAAAGTAACACCATAATTGCATAAATGTACCATAGACATTACTAAATGTACTACAAACATTAACTCAATAGTTGATTCATCCTGCAATCAGCTGTCCCACCATAATCCACACTTTAAAACAGAGTGAAACTGTTAGGGGTCCAGAAGATAACTTTTATTAAAATAAATATTTCTGGGGGGAAGGCAGGACAATAACATATATCCTGTGGTCATCATTACCTTTTGGTTTCTTCAGAAAAACAACCTTACTGAATTCCCTGATTGTTATAGGCTAAGATGCCACTTGAATGTTCCTTTGACACTTGGAGCAAAGCATCAAAGACAGATACTTTTAAAATAATCAAGTCATGGTCATATCCTTCCTTCCTGAGTGGAAATGCCCAGCAGAATGACAGAAGGACTAGGAAACCCTGTCAGAGTCACTTTAGGAATTTTTGGATGAACACTTTACTGAGTGTAGAGCCATTTAGTGAGCTGCAAGCAAAGCAAAAGACAAAAAAAAAAAGATCTTCAAAACACTGACCTTAAGGTAATCAGGGCAAAGAAGCAGCCGCTATGCAACGGTCGGGTGCTCAGGCTCCGTCTCAGATTGCCTCTGGCCTGAAGAACCTTGGCACTACCGGCCCTACTGCTCATCCCTTACACACCTGCACATTTGACTCATAAATTGAACCACTACAACCACCACTGCCACCACCACCACCACCACCTTCTCAGCAGGCATAAATCTGTCAGTCAGTGGAGCAATGTCAATTTAAACCACCAGCTTTCGCACCCGAGACTTGCACAGAATTTAGGTGCCAAATGCTGAAGGAGCTATACTGACTGCTGCAAATTCATGACTATCGTAACCTGGAGGTGCCTAAAGGCTAATGGCACCTCAATGCGCAATGCAAAAAGCTCTAGGGACCTAAATATAGACATCCTGCTCAGAAACATCCTGAAGAGACAGGTAGCTGATAGTGTTACAATTCAGATATAGCAGGAAATGGATCTCTTCCATGAGTCTCCACAGAGGCATAGGGCACTAGTCATGCCTGGACCACAGACAACAGGATTCAGATCAGATCAAAACACATGTACAAACAGAAATGATCCTGATGCCTCTTCTTCACTTGTTTGAGCACTCTTCTGAGACAAAGGGGACATAACTCTTGTTAGTTATGGGGGCCTAAAATCTTGGCTCCCAGTTCCCAGGAGAGCACTCTGCTCCCAGAAACTGTTTTATGCAAAATAAAGAAAAAATTCCTGCAGCGGGAAGCTGAAACTAATATATCTGCCTCCCAACAGAAACTCCTTCTCACTATCACACTCAGTCAACTGTTTTTGCTGACTCTCTTCCTGGCCTCACAAATGTCAGGGGCTCAGATCAAGCTAAGCTAAGCTCCTGAGAAATGAAGGTGAGTTCAAAGCTCCAGAAAACAGAGATCCAAGAATCAAAACCTCCTACACCAAAGCCCCACCCACTAAGGTATGGCACCTTTATAGCACCCTGGTCTGCCCAGCAGAGTCTCTGCTTGCTCAGCCAAAGTATGTATATGGGCTCCTTAATCACTGGGATCAGGCAAGTACCTCATTTAGATGCTTGAAACTATCGCCTCTTTTGATTATATAAGGAACCAAGGTGACTGCATTGGTAGTCCTCTATAACCCTACTGGGACGGACATTTTGATTTTTAAATGTTATGCCCTCTGAAGTGCGTGGTCCAAAAGCTGCCCTTGTTTCTCTGCCATAGCAGCACAGCCTGGAGAAGCTGGCATGGGTAGAAGGATAAGTGTGTTCATGGGTGGCCACAAATTTAGGGAAGGGGGTACTTTACAGACAGCTGCTGCTTTTTATCTCTGTCTCTGGCGTGTCCCTGTCCAGAGCCTTGACCCTCCTGACAGAGGAGTTTGAGTAAGGCTTCCGTGAACTAGGGACTGTAGAGTGCAAACCACAGAAATCTGCATTTCTTCCATTTTCTGCATTCTAATTCTGCTTACTTTCAGTATGGTTGGATGCTATAAACTTCAATACCAGGAAAATCTGCATACGCACAGTAATTACTTTTTCAGACTGTTTTACCAAATCAAGGATGTAACCACACTGAAACACTTGATAAGAAACAATTCCATTGATACTTGCTATTGAACCTAAATGACTGACCAGATGGAGCAGAACATAACATAGCAGACTGTCTAATATACTTTAGCTGAGATAATACATCTCGACTGAAAAAACATAATGTTTCACTCACTGACATGGAGATTGTTATATTACAGTGTGATGGAAATAACTATTGCACGCTCAAAATGTGTGCATGCCTGCATAACTTCTTCTTCTTTTATCCCTCTAATAACCTTTATATCTGTAATACCCCTTTAAGACAACTGTAATAAACCCAAACTGAACAATTAAAAAAACCCCTGTTAAACTATCATTAAGGGAATAAGCTAAACCTGCAAAATTAAGGAAATTCAAATTTAAAGCTGAAATGCACCATATGTCCTCCAGTGTGCACATGAGGAGATGTTCTTTCAAGTATTTTTTTTAAGCAGAGTGTCATGATAGTATAAGATACTGGAAAACACTGGATTCATACAGCATTGTCTTTGTCTTGGCCAAACTTGGTTTATTTAAAGCAGCTATGAATAAATGTATTTGTATTCACTTAGACACCTGCCTTTTATTCCCATTAATCATGAGCTATACAAGCCTAACAAGATTACAGCATACCTCTAAATGTTGAAGACCTTTATTTCATAATAAGCTACATGCCTAAGTCCGTATGTGCATATTCAGTGTGCTTTTTACTGCACTTGTTAGAGGAATCATAGTATCATAGAATAGTTTGAGTTGGAAGGGACCATGGAGGTCATCTAGTCCAACCCCCCTGCAGTAAGCAGGGACATCTTCCACTAGATCAGGTTGCCCAGAGCCCCATTCAACCTGACACTGAATGTTTCCAGGGATGGGTTATCTACCACCTCCCTGGGCAACCTGCTCCAGTGTTTCACCACCTTAAGCGTAAAATATTTCTTCCTTGTATCTAGTCTAAATGTCTCCTCTTTTGGTTTAAAACCATTACCCCTTGTCCTTTTGCTACAGGCCCTGTTAAAAAGTTTATCCCCATCTTTCTTATAAGCCCCCTTTAGGTACTCAATGGTCGCAATCAGGTCTCCTCAGAGTCTTCTCTGCTCCAGGCTGAACAAGCCCAACTCTCTCAGCATCTCCTCATAGAGGAGGTGTTCCAGGCCTTTGATCATTTTTGTGGCCCCCCTCTGGCCTGCTCCAACAGGTCCTTTGCTGAGGGCTCCACAGATGGATGCAGCACTCCAGGTGTGGTCTCACCAGAGCAGAGCAGAGGGGCAGAATCACTTCCTTCGACCTGCTGACCACACTTCTTTTGATGCAGCCCAGGATATGGCTGGCTTTCTGGGCTGCAAGTGCACATTGCTGGCTCATGTTGAGCTTCCCATCCACCAGGACACTCAGGTCCTTCTCTGCAGGGCTGCTCTCAATCTCTTCATCCCCCAGCCTGTTACTGGGGGTTGCCCCAACCCATGTGTAGTACCTTGCATTTGGCCCTGTTGAATGTCATGAGGTTTTCACAAGTCCACTTCTCCAGCTTGTCAAGGTCCCTCTGGATGGCATCCCATCCCTCAGGGGTGTCAACCTCACCATTCATCTTGGTGTCATCCACAAACTTACTGAGGGTGCACTCAATCCCATCGTCTATGTCATTGCTGAAGATATTAAACAGCACTGGCCCCAGAACAGACCCCTGAGGGACACCGCCTGTTACTGATCTCCATCCGGACATTGAGCCGTTGACCACCACCCTCTGGAAGCAACTATCTAACCAATTTCTTATCCACTGAACAGTCCACCCATCAAATCCGTGTCTCTCCAGTTTAGAGAGAAGGATGTTATGGGTGACTGTGTCAAAGGCCTTGGAGATTATACATGACTTGGGAACCTAGAGAACTGCAGAGAAAAACTTTTGTTTTCAGTTTAATGTGAGCAGAGGGAACCTGCAGGAACTCCAGAAGATACTGTTCATATTTCCCTCCCAAAAGTGGAGATGATTTATTTTGCATCATAACCTTTAAGCATAATTCATTGCTTTGCCAGGTAAATAAAGGAAGAAAGAAAGAGTCCAGCCAACTCCCTCAGGCCCAACACGTCTCTCTTCTTTCAGTTTATCTAAAGCACCTGCTTCTTAATCTTGCTCTTTCTTCCTTGTAGTAAAAACATTTGAATAGGTAGATGCAGCAGAAAATCTCAGACTGAAAAGCAGTATTTCAAGTCTCAAATGAAAATACTAAAGCATTAGCATGCCAAAACTGAGAAAACAGGACCAGCATGTACCTTACACATCTAAGAGTCTAAAGGGACAACTCATCCTGCAAAATGTTTGCTGATGCTAAGGATCTTTTTGTCTTCCAAAGCTTTCTCCAAAACTTTATTCTGTTTTCCATTCCTCATTTTTAATCATTTATTTCACATGGAACTAAAGCGCAGACTATTAGATGTATTAGCTTTCACATGTATTTTTGCACTAGGCTCTTTACCCAACATTCGTCTGCTTTGCCTGCTTGTGGTGCTGCTAAGTAGGGTCTGAGGGAACTGCAGGCAGCCACTCCAGAGGTCACACTGCACAGTGCTGCTGTTGTTTTCATCTGCACATCTGTGGTGCATACCTAGCTCTCCAAGAGCCAGATAATGCTCTATGTGAAGCTGAGAGAAGAAACCTGGGCGCATTTTAAAGCTGGGGTCTCCCATGGGCTTCTCAAAGGCTCTGCTGCTTCCTCCAGCACTGGCATCTGGCTGGGCGCAAGCCCCATGCCTGTGCTGCCTTCCATGCCAAGTGATTTCTCTCCTCTTCCAGTAGAAAGCCACGAAGACTTTCATCCCTAGAGCTGGAGGCCAAACACCATTTTGAAAGTGCAATAGGAACAGTCAGACAGAGTTTAAAACATAGAAATGCTGTGGATGGCAAAAAGCCAGCAAAGCTTAAGATTCTGGCATAATAAGAAAAAAATGCTTTAGATTTTGTATTAAAGAAGAACTGGGGACTAAGTATGACCTGCAGACAAGCATGAATGGCAAAAGGAAGACTCACAAAAACTGGAAAAGAAAGAATTTTGCACAAAATTTCCACATGCTGCTGTGTGGCTAACTGAGGACTGGAACAGTGCAGCCACATTCCATGGTGACTGCTAGAAAAATAATGAGGGACCAGGAAAACTCGAGATTTAGGTAATCCATTTCATACATTTTCAGCAACTCATCAGAAAAGGTAGAGGGCCTGGATCAGGGCCATCAAGATGAGCAATGGAAAAAAAATCCAAACTCAATATACAATGTACATTGGATCCTTCATTAGTGGGAGTGCACTCCATTATAGGCTAACTCTGGTTTTAGACTTCAGAGAAGCCAAGCACTCATTTATAAAACCACCTTTCTCCTGCCTTCCTGTTGTAGGGCAATTTAGGTTTTTGGAAACCATGTGTTTCTTTCCGCTTCAGTGGCCTCACAGCGCATTTATCTTCTTACGTCTGTAAGCTCTCTGGGACAGGGACTCTTGATACTTGTCTCATGGAGGCTGTCAGCACTTAGAAATGAAAATTAGTAATGTTAATAGTAATTTTCTACTCAGGTATAAAAGATGATTTTGTTATACCTCCTGGCAACAGCCAGTGCACACAGTAAATGAGCTGCAGGGAGGACGCGACCGTAAGTCAGTATTGTGGCCAGAGAGGCAGAGTAGCAGAGACCCAGAACACCTGCTGCTCATCAGACAGTTTAACTTCCCAGCTCTGGTGAACCATGTCAATAGGGAACCCCAAACTGGTGCATCCAAAATTGAAATGTGCTAACTGTATTTCTGACACCATGCCTCAGAAAGTATTTGCCACATGGTCTAATGAGCTGCTGCAGTAAAAGTCCACATAATTCAGAAATTTCCTGGGGTGTATGAGAAGAAAAAAGGGGTCCACATTCTTCCTGGCAAATCATTGTGATCTGTCTTGGTTGGGGGTTGGATCCCAGTCCTGTCCTGCATTTGCTCCTGAAGTTTCATCATAAATATGTTGCCACTATGATCTGGTTAGCATTATAAAGTTAAGTAAGTCTCAGTAGCAGACCATCCTTATGTTCAATGAGGATCCATTCTAAAACAAAACGGGGATGCAGTGAAACTAAATCAAATCAAGATCAAACTAAACTATGCCACCATTTGCTCAGCTAGCAAAGGCATCACAATCAAAAGTATAAATAAATGAATGAATGAATGACAAAAATATTGTTCTTACTCTATAACTGGAAAATACCTTGTGGGCTCAGCCCATCTTTTTCAAGCATGACTGCTCAAAATTAAGACCCCAATCCACAAAAAAAGCCCTGAATTTCCAGTAACTGGAGAGAGGAAAAGAAGAAAAGGAGAAGAATATGACAGTTACTTTTGAGGTCAAGCACCTGTATATAGCTGTAAGTCTAGATATGAATTCAGGAATCCATGCAGGGAAATGCTAGCCCAGGCTTCTAGCTGATCTGAAGCTACTGCAGCGAAGGTGATGTGTGCAAGACTGAAGAGGCAGCCTTTTAAACACGCCTCTGCCACATAGCATGAGCACAGGCTTCTAAAACAAGTGTCCCCAGCATTCTGCCAATATGCCTTCACGTCTGCCAAAATACAAGCTGCCTGCACAATCAGAGGGCATTGCTGCACATATGGTTTTGACAGATCAAAATATGTGAAATTTTTTCTCATTTCTTTTTCCTAGGTTTCCCACTCTTCTTGTCACATGGAGGCTAATTCTAGATATTGAGCCAATAACACTTGATGGATTTTAGCTCACTCATAATTTCTGTTCCCTTCCACTGTGCATCCTTTCCACAAGTAACTCCTGAGACCTCAGCACGGTGCTTCTCATGAAGAAAAGCCACTTGCCCTGTGTGACACCCGCACTGTTAGTACTGCCCAATTTTAGGCTGCTCTTTTAACAGTATCTGGAGGTATGTGGCCATGAATCAATTCTTGCAGCACAAGAATGGGCTAGAAAGAAAATAAAAAATTCCCCAATGTAGAAAGCAAAGAAATCTAAATTTATGGGACTACAGGAACAGTTCAAGGAAAGAGAGAGGAGATACTTGTTGGTGAACAATAAAGGAGCTGAGTCCCTCAAGAAAGAAGAGTGTGACACAGAAGAGACCCATAAGCCAAAAGGAGCAAGAAAAGAAAGAGACAATGCTAGAAATAAAACAAATTTCATCACTGACTTCATGGGATCAGGGCTTCCCTTTCTCTGCTGTCCCCTAACCCCTACTTATTTGCACAGGGAATAAACTGACATGACTCAATACAGATTTTTAAAGCAAAAGTGCTGATTGACTTTGGAGAAAAGAGTTAATAGGATTTAATCTCCATCTCCTGCAGCTCTTACACAGGTGACTGGATTTTAAGTTTTTGCAATGTTCTATTTATTTTTATTTTTTAGTTTATTTATGCTTATTAATAAATAATTTCACTAATTAATTGTTATGAAAATGCTCACTCTAGAAAGAAAATAAATTCAACTTTGGTTTTGAAATGTCTACACTTCTTAAAATAGGAAGGTATGATGCAGCATATCTGGAGTTTTTAAGGTTTATTTTCTTTCCTTTTCCCTTTCCTCTTGATTAGCAAGTTGCCAAATATTTGTTTGGTTTAAACTAAATCAATTTTTCTACCTCCCCAGGAGGATTCAGGTTCATTTATAACAGTAAGGTACTGTAATTGAGAAGTAGCAAGATACACCCATGACAGAGGTCTACTTGAATCTGTAATTTGTGTTAGATCTAAGAGAGAACAGCCAGTGTAAGTTACAGTTGCTGGAAGGTAGTGTTCATCTCTAAGCAGATGGAAGCCAGATATTTTAAAACTAACTGCAACAACTGACTTAAATATAGCCCTGTCTGAAGCCAAGCAAATTCATTCCATTGCCTTTGCTGAGTTGCAGATCAGCAAAGCATGTTATAGCTCTAAATCTCATGCTTTACAAAGTACACATTATCATCCACACTTTGTAGATAGCGCACCTGAGGCAGAGAAAAGTGAAACAATTTGATGAAGCTCACTAAAAACAACAGAGACAAAAATCAGAAAATAAAGGTGTCTGTTCCCTCCCAGAACTTCTCATTGCCATAGACTAGACCAGTCTCTGACAATCTCTATGCACCCCCAGTTCTGTAGGTGTAAGTATTAGAAGAAACACTGACACGTGTGACAAATCACCTTTTACTACAAAGTCCACTAAACACACTCAAAAAGACCTATTCATTTTGGTAAGCCTTTGACAGAGTACTAAGGGAAAATTTGGAAATGAAGATGAAGTGTCCCAGTCTGCACCAGCTCATGGAAGAGCCAGAGCACAGCCAGAACAACAGTGAAGGTAAAACTGAACGGAAAGAGCAGGACACAGAAAACCAACCATACAATGTTAAGGGCAAGACACCAAAAGGGCTTAACCACAACAAGAAGAGTCCAGATTTGCAGCAGTTCCCAGTTTAATTTATCAAAACCATCACACAGTTGCCAACAGGGAACTATAAAGCAGCAAAAGCCACCTGTGTGTTTAATAGCCATTCTTCTGTCCTACTGCTACAACAGCCAAGAGAGTTGCTCATCCCCACATGGGTATTTCCTTAGCCTCAGGTATTGCAGTTATCTCACACAGAACATTGATAAAATAATTAAATAATACATAATCATTATGAAAGGGCCAGTGTTAGGTGACATTTTTAAATTGCATCATGTCTTCGGACTATTTATTTTTGGTAAAAATAAATTAAAAATTAACCGAGCCATAGACGGGGGAAAAAAAAATTAAACTCGTGCTCGGTTTCGAATTCTGTTATCTACACCCTCTGTATAGACAATTATAGCGACTAGTTAAGTCCAGTGATCAGTGTTTAAGCTGACTCCTTTTATTGCTTATGTAAAAACCCAGAAATATAGAAAATAGACATTGATTTCTGGCACTCTGGTAGATGATATATAGTAAAAAATGCAGGTTCACTGATAGATTTGTATAAGAAATAGACTGTATCACTTTTAGTTATCTGTTGTCTGGGATTAAACCTTTTTCTACTAAGCCCTTTGTACCTCTTGACTGTGGAAAACTTGGAGAGATGCAATTTATCAAACCTGAGAAAATTAATATTGTAACATCAAAATATAAATTGTTATGAAAACACATATTTGCCTAAAATTCAAAATACTAAGAAATACACATAAGCACATTCTTGTATTTTGTTTTTTCTTTTATAAAAAAAGGAAGAAAATAAAATCTGAGTTCTAGCTTTACAAATCTACGAAAAGAAACAGAAATCAATTTCAAAATGAAAGTTATCTTCACAGTGCTTACAATTGCTTTCTGCCTCTGTCTCTCCCTTTGTTTGGCCCTTTCAGATTCCCGTTTTTCATACTCTTTGCGGTATTCTTCCCTCTTCAGCCTTTCATGCTGATATTCCTCATAGCTGTCATATCTAGGAAACATAATTTAGTCATTAAATCAAGCATCTTCATTTGTGAATGTAAAATTAGTAATACAGTTTCTGGAAAACGTCATTATCTCTTGAGAACCACCTGCAAAGCAAAACAAATGAAGGCAAAATGCACTACCTGGGTCTGCGACTGTACGGTGATCTGGATCGTGATCTTGCACGTAAGGGAGAACTTCCATATGTTTGGTGTCTACAGTGGCTGGACTCATAATAGCAACAAGATCTGCAGGAAGAAACACATTCACTTCTGTCATTCAGTTTGAGTCTATTGACACCATTTTCTACCTCTTCCCTGAACTTACAATTTCTTCTGAACTACCAGTGAGATTTCCCAGTGACAGTTTGCGATCTCCTAGTCAACTAAGGGGCCTCAAGTGATTACTGACCCCCACCCTTCTGTGACGTTCCTTATTGAGGCTAACAAGGAGCAGACAGTCAGCCACTGTCAACTTCATCTGATAGGGACTGCAGCTAGATTGGCAGCGGGCAGCTTGCAGATAATGGGGAAGGTTAGCTCTGTGCATCTCTCACCAATTGCTCTGATGCTGACCTGACTGGCTCCTCTCAGAAGGAGTAAACTGGGCAAATTTAAAGGATAATGGCAATAGTGTTTCTGCAGCAACCTCGCAACCTTCAGTGTCAATCAGCTCAGGAGCAACAGAGTTGCACTGGATTAAGTTATTTCTTATTTTTTGTTCTTTCTTTCTTTCCTTTAGGCTGCTTTGTTTTTGCTGTTTTCCTTCTTACTAACTACGATGACGATATATGAATTTGCTGTACTGTACCTTGAAGATGATCTACTACAGGGCGACCTTGATCTTGACTGGGAATATGGAGAACGGGAACAAGACCTGCGTTGAGGAAAGGACCTTGATCTAGAGCGTGTCCTTTGGGATCTTTGAGAAAATAAGGATTTGGGTGGAGACACTGAATCTCTGCATGGAGAGTTAAAAGAAGAGCAAGATGGCGATACATCAAATAATGAATAGGCTTGTGTCCCATCCCAAGGGTAGCATAGTTTATCACTTTCATCTTCACTGTCATCAAAGAGACCATCCATTGCTAGTCCTGAATTTATAAACATAGGTAGTTTGGAGAATTGTTCATTACTGTAATCACTGTCCCTTAGTTCTCTGGTCTTATCTGCTTCTTCATCAAAAACAGCTTGGCTGGGGTGACCAAAATGCTTATTCAGTTCAGCCCGAATTTCCTGGTCTTGGAGCTGTTTTCTGTTATTACCATGGGACCCCTGCTTACTTGTCTGTAAAGTCTCTTTCTTGAAATAATGGTCTTGTTCTAAAGAAGAACAAATCTGACACTGCCACCCAGGTGAAGAATCCTTAAATTCTGGTTGTCTGGAGTCCTGAAGTTCCTGGGACATTTTAATGTGTATTTCTGATTTTGAATTCACAGATTGACAGTAGTCATGGTCACCAAACAGCCGCAAACTGGGCCGTTTTGTCTTTCTCTCCTCATGTCCACTGGACAGTACTGTAGTCTTGCTGAGCTGTGCGTACAGCTCAGACTGTTCTGGACCCTTCTTGATTGGGTTATTTCCTTGAGAACTGGAAGACTCACTATAGCGGGGCTTTTTTGAGGGTGGTACAACAGTCTTGCATGACGACTTCGGCTTAGGTGAAGTCCTAAAAGGATTATCCTGGTTGGTTTTATGAGGAGGGGTTGTAGGTGGAGTTAGGCCTAAGGGGGAAAAATGGAGGAACTGAATATTTTTAAGGACACACACAACGTTATAAAGGTGGCTCATGTGCTTCTTTAAAACAGATACAAAGCAAGACCCATTCTATGTCACTTTCATTTAACACTACTAATACTGGGAACACGAGTATTTATGGTGTGAAACACCAAAGGTCTGGTACCAGCAATAGCAACAGTACAAGTGCATTGCAATTAATCTTCAGCATCATTTCTGCCCCTCCCCTTCCTCCATGGCATCTGCCTCTCTCTCTCTGTAGATTTTGATGGAAAAGCTCAGGAGACATTTTTTGTTAAAAATAAAAAAGATTTCAGTATAAAACTCAAAAGTCAAAAGACTGGCCCTGTCAAAAGAAATTAGCAGACAAAGTCCTGAAAAAAAGCAAGCCTGATAAATGAGTGCTACCAAAGGAACCTGGGCAGGATGCAGAACTTCAATGCAAGGAAGTACAGCAACTCTACAACTTGACTGCAGTGACTCTTTGTCTTCACAGTTCATTAACTCAGTAACATCGCTAATGCATGTATAATACATTCCTGTAAGCATAACTAATAAATTTTGCCCAAAATGTGGTTCTGCAACTGAAACCCAAGTGAACAATAGGACAACTGCAACTGTAATGAACCACTGCATTTAGAACTAAGTATTAGCGAGAATCATGAAGTTGGGAGTCAAAATGAAACAGTAAAGTATTCAGAGACTAAAAATGCCACTAACTACCAGGATTTTTCACATAACTGTAATAGATTATACCACTGTGGTGAGACAAAATTGCAGGAAGGACTATAGACCATTCTAGTAAAACCTGGGAACCAAAGCAGCATCGTCAAATTATTTCTACAAGGGCAGAATATAACTGTCAACTTTTTCTGTAGACATCACACAATTACTTCAGACTTTACAAAACAATAACGCAGGACACCAATGTGGGGTAACAGCAAACTGCGGCCACTGTTCAGAAAATCATTACTCTTCAGGAAAGTAGTTAGTATGTTATGTTTTAAAACTTTGCTTCTGTCTGATTAACCCTAATGTAATTTAGAAACATATGTGCTTAAAAGCAAACAAATGTAAGTAAGTATTGTCCTGAATTAGACTGAGATTAGGGAGTTCTAAATAATACAGACCATCCTTAAGCACTCCAGAGGTCAATGCTGTCCAAGATTTCTTCTTGTCCAAGCAATGAGCTTTCCATTACTTCCTTAGCAAGAATGAAAAGCACACTTACAGAAAATGTGTATTTGTGTATTTCAAACACAGCTACGGAGTTTTGTTTTGTATTTTTAACCATGCAACAGAGATCAGCAGATCAATGCAAACAGAACATGTTTTATAGTGTTTTGCTGTAAAGAAGGAAAAGCATCCATCAAAGCATAGTGCTCCCTAAGGAGCATAAACGGAGACTGGGAGTCCCATCGCATTATCTGCAATGAATTTGTTCCAGAAAAAAAGAAGATAGGAGTACCAAGGCATGAGTTCAGAGGAGAGACACAAAGATGGTCAGAGGGCTGGAGCACCTCCCATATGAGGACAGGCTGAGAGAGTTGAGATTGTTCAGCCTGGAGAAGAGAAGGCTCCAAGGAGACCTCAGAGCAGCCTTTCAGTACTTAAAGTGGGCTACAGGAGAGATGGGGAGGCACTCTTGATCAGAGACTGTAGGGATAGGGCAAGGAGTAATGGTTTTAAGCTGAAAGAGGGTAGATTTAGATCAGATATTAGGAAGAAATTTTTCACTGTGAGGATGGTGAGGCACTGGAACAGGTTGCCCAGAGAACCTGTGGATGCCCCATCCCTGGAGGTGTTCAAGGCCAGGCTGGATGAGGCTTTGAGCGACCTGGTCTAGTGGGAGGTGTCCCTGCCCATGGCAGGGCAGCTGGAACTAGATGATCTTTAAGGTCCCTTACAATCCTAACCATTCTGTGAATACTCGACATGACAGTGAAGTTCGAATTTATCTGAATGATTGGAAAAAATGGTTATGAGCTAACCATGCCCATGTAAAGACTTTGTCTAATGTCACCAAAGTCAGGGAAACTGAGGCAAAGATGCTGATGCCTAAAACTCCAGTTACCCCAAATTTGATTTTAAAAATTAATTTTGTGCAAAGTCATCACTGTTAAACTATTTTGTCTAATTTGAGTCCTCAATTTTTTTTTTCTTTCCCAAAAATTCACTTGAGTCAGCAGTACATATTTCACACCTTATCCACCTGCTCACTAACAAATATTTTTGCCTATCAAATGAATTTTTGGTAAAATGAGGAGAACATTCCTCTTAAAAACGCTGCAGTAATCATTTCTGTGTTAAAAATTCAGGCTCAGATTCAACAAAAGTAAGCAAGAACTGTTTTCTTGATAAAAAATTAAATGTGTCACTCTTACTCATGAAATTATATAGCCCCTGAGATGCTCTGGAGTTCGTTGTCAAATTTTTGGATGCAGTTTTAAAGAAAGAGTGAAGCAGAAGAATATTAATTCCAGCCCCTCCTTGTTACTTCCAACTACCACTCCACAATGACCATGCATATTTAAGAATTTCAGGCAAAGAAACCCCAGAGATAATCCCATATTGAAAGTAAAATATTGTTTCCATTTCCACTTCTTTAAAGCTAGCCCTGTCAGGAGGCAAGCTAAACAAAGAGCACAGCCATTTCCAGAAGTTCGACAAGGAGTCCAACAGTCCTTAGAGGAGGGGAAAAAAAAGACCAAAAAAACTCCTCGCAAAAGTACAGACTGAGCTAAATTTACTGGCACTTCTCCTGCTGGCAGAACTGTGCTGGGGACATCCTAAGAAAGGGCTTCCTCGTGGCATTCTGGCGTTTTTCCTGGTTTTTAGCAGAAGCAGGAAGTGCACAGGCAAGCAGAAACAGATAAAAGTAGGAAAATGTTCATTTCACTTTTTAACAAACCTCCATCGGGGGATGGAGAGGGGAGTGAAGATTTGAATTCATGTCACCGCTACAGACTATACTTTCAGCGTGTTCCACGACCAGTGTCCAAACCGTGAACTTTGAGAAAACCAGTTGGCTACACATTTGCTCATCTTCCCATTAATCCCTTGGCAATTTTCACCGAGGGCCATGATCCCACATTAACGGCGTTACAATATTCTATAAGCATTGGATTATTTCATACATGCCGATTTCTCCGCCAATGTGTACATTTTAGCGTTGACAGTACAAGGTATAGTCTGTGCTCTCTCTTGAACTTAGCAGGTTTTGACAGATTTATGGAAGGACAGATGGCCATTACGGGCTGAAGGCTGACAAGAGGCAGTTCAGAGCATTGTTAACACACTTGCACAAACTCTCAGCAGTGCAGCGCTGTGCAGAATGTAATTCAGACTATAGCTTTTTTATTGCTGCCTATTTTCTTTTGTCAAAAGAGCCTGCTGTGCACAGCAACAAATGGCTGCCATTACCCGGAATGTAATGGGTGTCAGACAAATCACGTAACACAAACAATCAAGAGTATGTAGGTCATATTTCAACAGAGCACAACCTTAGCAATATTTATGATTACTGCATTGAAATGTGCTCTATAATAAACAAGTACCTCTACATCACTCACACTTAGGTACTTCTGCACAGCAAATCTGTTAGAAGTGGTACATACTCTACAATAATCTTTCCTTAAACAGTATTTTTTCTTTTTAAAGTAAAAGGCAAGTATTTTTTCGTGACATGCTATAAAACCATTTTCTTTGTAGGGACTTTTCTTTAATTGAATGGCTTTGGTAAACGGTATGTTTGCACTTTGCCTTGCTCTGTCTAAATACTACAAACTCACTTGGTGATCTTGTGCTTGAAAATAGCGTACATCTATTTGCCAGCACTGCTGCTGAAGCAGCACCATCCTCCCCAGCTCCGTGCAACAAGGTGTTTGCATGTCTGCCGACACTGCCACCCTGGCCAAGCAACTTCTTTCAAGAAAGTCTCTGGGAGAGTGAAACTACTTTTGATACATTCTGAAACTCCACTACAATAACCCCTTCGTAACTCATTTAGCTCAGCTAGCCTGATAAGCAGAAATTAGGGCAGTGTCTTTGCATAAAACGTGACATCTTGACTTTTTAGGACTGAACTGCAATGCTGTTTTAACATAGACACCGATCTTTCTAAAACTCCACTGTAAAAACTCTACTTTCTAAAATTTCAATTGTAACTGTTACCATTTAATGTTTGATGACATTTGCTGTGCTTTGAGGGGGCTGAGAATTAGTGTCTTTTAGGGAACACAGCTTTGGAACCTTTCTATGTGTGCGCTGGGCTTCTGAGAGGCATTGAAAATTACTTCTTTTACACCTTTCGAGTTTGAAAATGGATTGTCAAGGGAAACATTATTTAAGGACACTTAAAACACCAAACACAAGATAACAGCTCAATCCAGTAAAAGAATCAGAAGAGCTTTTGTGTGGCACAAGATTGCAGAATGCAGGAAAATATAATAAAATTAAACAGCCATCATATAATAAAAAACTACATGCTTGTTGAGTATCCAGTTTAATCCTGACGTCAGTGCTGCAGAGAATAAACACAGATGCCCGAAAATATCAAATAATTTACTAGATTTTATTCCCTCTGGACAACTCTCTGCATCTCACATCTCATTCAGAGATTGAACTAGTTCTTATATGATAGATTTTAAGTATTTGTTCTGACAACTAAGAGGTAACACAGATCTAGAGGTGGACAAATAGCAGCGTATAAGTATCCTCAAGTGTGCTCATAAATTCCAAATTACTATTCAAGCTGATTGTGCTCATACAGCCTTTTCTGTCATCTTTTTGGAGACATCAAATTTTGCACCCAAGAAAGACCAGTGAGGAGTTTTATGCTCAGGTAAATTACAGGAATCTGTGTGCAAATGAGAGATTTTTTTGCCAAGTTACTTGTTGTAGATAAGAGGGTGGAAACAGCCTTCCAGTTACTGATCGAGCCTTAAGCGTGTAAATTCACTTCATGCACTTACATTACAGCTTTGAGTATTTCGGAGTGAAGGTTTAAAAAGACACTGAGAACAGAGAGACCTAGATTTCAAACATTTAGGAGCCATGCCATCTAACTTCTGACCTTTGGAATTTCAGCAGAAAGTATAAAACAATAAATCAGCCACCTCTAGACGGTGAGTCCTCCTAGTTCCTGTGCCTGCAGGTGTCCCCTCAACCTGACTGGTAACAAAGAGTAATAAGGTCTTCCAGTGACACAGAAATGTCCCATGTTCCTGGAAGACATTAGAGATGTTCAAGCCCATGGCCTCCTAGCAAGGCTTTGGAAATGCAGCTAGCTGTGAAAACAAAGGGAGAAGGACCTCTAGCAAGCCTCTTATCAGAATGAGACTCACCTTACACAGAAATTTCATCCACTACATTATCATCACCTAGGACTACCTCCATTGTGATGTTCTGGTCCATTTTCCTTAGAAGAGCACTAGAAATCAGCTGCAGGAGTTGGGTTTTTAGATAGCAATGGACTCATTCCTCTATCATAGGCTACTTATTTAAAGCGCATTCAAAGAATTCTTATGTGTGACTTGAAAACACTTTAAAAAATATTTGTTCCCTGTAATTTGACAAATCAATGCTTTGACAGTTTTAGGGAGGACAAAGTTACATTCACAACTACTAACAAATCTGTTGTAAAGCAAGATATAGCATCGGCAAGAGAACAGTTTCAGATTGACTTTAGATACATGAATCCAAAATGTGCATGTGACAAAGATTGATGGCTCATGTGGGAAATTCTTTTATTTATTTATTTTTCTACTCTATAGTTAATTCATCAGTGAGGGAACCAATGTTGTTTTCAGCAGAGAGATCAAGGGAACTGCTATTTATATTAAAATACTTTGTGCTTCGATAGTGCGAGCAGCAATGCTAATGGTCTTTTCAATTCAGCAGTGAGATCAAGGCAACTCATATTTAAATCATAATAAATAGTGCTTGTATAGTGCAAGCTGCCCTATATAAGGACAATGAGCAATGCAGTTATCTGGATATAATTTGGAATAGTGAGGGTCTCACTGAAGAACTCCAAAGTATTATTAATCACTACTGCCACAATTTTTTTTTTATTTTTTTTTGTTGTTTTGTTTTTTTTTTTAACTGAAGTGGGTTCCAATTCTGCCATGATTTACTCACATATGCTGTAAGTTCTTCAGCACTTGCGGTTGTTTCTGTTGTGTACTTATCTGCTTCCAGCACAAGCAGACTCATGACACAAGACATTACTGCAATACAAATCAGTCAAAAAGACATGCACAACCACTCATCTTTTTATAGTTTTATATACACATACGAATATAAAAATAAAATCTATGTTTATTTGAAGGCAGAAATTAATAGAGCTGCCAAGTGATGAAAATCTCCTGAAACCTCCTCACCAGGCACTACGAAGACCAACACAAGTGCAACAAGAAGTCCAAGATTCACCATCGTGTATGGTGCTTGGTAACACTGCCCCAACTCCCTGGCCACACATGCTCCACCAACTCTTATTCTTCCTGATTATCATCAGCTTATTTTCTACTTAGACTCTATTTACTTTCAGAGGGGAAAAAAAAATCATGTTTTCATGGTACAACGTTCCTGTTCACATATTCGTCCAGTTGTGATGTTTCACTGCTTCTGATGCATATTTTAAGGCACTAGTTCTCCTGGTTATATTCTGTAAGACAGCTGTAGAGCTGTTTTGTTTCCTCCTCTGTGCACAGCTGATGGAGCAGAATGAATTTGGTAACACCAAGACCATTCTCATTGCCATTATGGAAGCAATACTAGAGGACTACCCAGGGGTCAGACTGACTCCCAATTTCCATCTAGTCAGCTGAAGGGAAGAGCAGGCTGCTGCCCTTCTGGCTGGGAGAAAACACTGCTCCCTTCACTGATTTCAATGGCTGCTTGTACAACTCTGCTGTAGTCACCTCATCTGCCCGTTACAGTTGGCAGCACGAAGCACTGACTTACAGGCCGGTTACAAATGGGCACTCTCATGCAGATCTGCTCTCCAGTAATGATAAAAGAGGCTTCTCCATGCTTCAGGCCTACTCACACTGAACGGGACTATCCTGCTGCATACTGTGAATTTTGCCATGTTTGTGCTGGTTTTGCAAAAAATAAGGTGCATTGGAAGGATGCTTCCTTTTGTCATGAGGAGTGATTACAACTGTAGGTTTTCAGGACATGGTAGAGGAAAGTGTACACATTTTAACGCTGAACTAATTAAGAAGTTTCTGAAAAAGTTACATTATGGTTGTAGGGAGGTGAAAGCCCGACGTACGTACACAAGTCTAGTGCTTAGGCCTGCTCTTGTGTAAAGCTGACACTGAATTCAGGGGCACCAAGCTGATCTATGGTACCTGAAGACGTATTTTGCAATGCCCCCCCAAACACTACAGATCACGTAATTTACAATCGAGAGAAACACGTCAGGTACATCTCTTATTATCCAATATTGCACAACTGAGAAAGAAAACAGTCTTGGCAATAGCTCAGGTGAAGCTCAGCATGTGTTCTTGTGCTCAGTTCTGGACACTTCAGGAAAACAGAAGCAAAGCATGGTTCAGAGGAAAGCAATAAAACAGATGTGAGTCTGAAGGAATTGACTTTAGCAGAAAGACGAGCAGATGAATTAAATGAGTGCAATGGATGATGTATGAACTAAACCAGCACACAATAAAAAATCTACAAATCTTCAAAATGTACAAACACCAGGGATCTGAAAGGAGGAGGAGGATAAAGGGAGGTTGTGTGAAGTGTTGCTAACCGAAGAAATAAAGAGAAAGCAAGAATATAAAATGAATATGATTTAAAAAATTACTGCTAAGCTATGGAATAGTTTTTCAGTGGTAGAGGAGAAAGCTGTTATTTGTGACATGTTAATCTAGAATTGAAAAAGCACTGAAACATGCAGTCATGTACAGCCCTAGACTGGCCTAGAGACAGACTGGATGACATAACTTTTCCATCTGTAACATCTATTACCCTGTGCTGTGGGGTTTATCTTTGAAAGATGGTGCTCAGCAGCACACAAATCTATGGGGAAATGGGGAAGTATAACAGATAAATGGTTTCATTCATATTTTCCCAGAAATTATGCTCTCTTGTGTAGGTTTGGAGCCGTATTTTCAACCACATTCTTTCTCAGGTAACTGGATAAAAAGTCAATGCTAAACTCTACTGAAGTTAATCTACTGGAGACCTCTGTGAGATCCCGGTGTATGTATGGTATATTAAAATGAACAAACATACACATGAGCCATGCTTAAAGGAAGAGCCAGCACACCCCATTTCTCACCTGCAGTTCCAGAGAGTTCCACACTTAAGGTTTGTTCAATAGTCTTGTTCTCAAATGGGGAACCCTTGGGATCACTGGAAGACAGGGCACATTTATAAAAACAAGCTGAAATGGAGTTGCTGTAGCCAAAATCTACTGAACCCCCCTCCCTTTTATAAATGTTTGCACTTTTTAGTACTTACTTTGGTGACTCGGGTGTCAATGGAAGTGATAAACTCGTTGGTTTGGCTAAAGGGAAAAAGAAAACGATTATGGAGTATCTAAACACTCCACAACATATACTAAAAAGATTTCTTTTTATTTTGGCCCTGGAAATAGTAGTCAGGTAGGACTGAGCTCTGATAGTTCAATAGCCATTTTAGTGTATCCTGGATAGATAAATAAGGAGATTTATCCCGATTCCTTATTACTGGTACCAAAAGGACACCTAAATTTCAACAATGGTTTACCTCAAGTACTGTACCTCTGAAATACAGTACACAACCCAAATGCCAAGAACCTTTCAGAAGTACAGTGGCACATGTTAAAAATCAATGAAGAACTCTACAGGATACACTGTGAAAATGTTATTTCTCTTAGACTTAATTTAGACTACAGTTCATGTTTTATTTGGAAACAGGAGCAGCAGAATAACTATGAAGCAACAGAACGTTATGAATATTCAGTTAATTTTACTTCTACAATATACAATTTTATATATAGCACTGAGAATAGGTTGTTTCTATGAGGCCAGAGTCCAACCCGTTATAGTCCAAATTTCTGCAAATTATCCTGCAAACTATGACAAGCCATGGACATAGTCACAGATGGTTAAAAATGGGGTTGAAGCTCTCAGTACTACAATCCCAACATAAGCAAAAACAAAGCTCTAGCTATAAAAATACAAGTCTTTGTAGCTTTTATTCACACAAACTTGTATTTTCCCAAGGCAAGCCAAACTAGTATATTGAAATACAACTAAGATTCCTTTAATTGCCAGTAAAATGCTTAAAAATTAAAAATATTACTTGCAAATTTTACTTTTCAGAAGTTAGATTGACGTTTAAACGCAGAGAGCACTGTAGCAAGAACAACAGCAGGGGATCTCTTCTGCAAATCAATTACTTAAGACAAAATGTTCCCCTTGAACACTCCTGCACTGCAGATCTTTTGTCCAGAGTGTCACTACTATGTATTTCATATTCATTCCAGGCTTGGAGCTCCCATCAACATTAAAGGATTTTATATGCAAATTGATTACTTTCATAAGCTCTAGAGCATTCCTGAAGTAATATTACATTTTTTTAAAAATTAACTCAATTCTCAAGAGCTGCATATTGTTTCTCCTCCTCCCCATATGAAAGTTAGAAATGGAAGCTCAGGTGTTCAGTTCGGGTTGACCTTCCTCAGAAGTCACCGCCAGAATGAGGAGACGCACCTCAACGAGTTATTTGTCTGATCCAGCACTGCTGCTGATTTGTGCATAAAACCAGTTGCAGTAAGACTGAATGTAACCTGACACATCTTTGTGTGTATTTTATGTACATCTAGGGCTATTAATGTTTGTCAGTGACTACCCAGAGGTAAAACTGGCTTTAAAAACCCACACCTTACAGTAAGGTTCTGGAATAAAGTTGTCTACCAAGGCTTCCACTTTTTTTAAGAGGATAAATTCTCTTACCCCATTTAGGCTTTCTAAGGGAGCTGAATGTGTACGAGCTATTTAAGCCTCTAAAAAGTCTCATTCTAGCTCTCATTAGTCCCACAGAATAGTCCCTCATCAGAATATATACATAAAATTCTGAAGCACTGAGGCACAGTGCAAATCTGACAGAGATGGGCACAGAACCAAGGCTTTATCTCACACTCTTATGTATTAATTCTAGGCAGATATCACCGAACTGTCCCACTGAGAAACTCGCATACCAAAACACCCATCAGTTTTTTTATTGCTAAGAAAGGGCTTGACCAAACAGTATTCCTGCAAAGGATGCATTCTCACATACAGCTATTGATAGTGTAAATATTTAGCCAAGACACTATAATTTTCCATGGTGCCTGTTTATTATAGTTTCAAGGTCTACTGTGGTGTGGTTTTTTTCTTATTAAAAACAGTTCACATGAAGTTGCTTGTCCCTGTAAATTGAAAACATTCAGGTTCAGAAGAACTAAATTTCCTCATGGGCAAATTTCAATGCAAAACCACAGATGATCTTTGGCATGAATGGGTTTGTGGATGTTCCCGTGGGTTTGCAATATGTTTGCAACAGTAACCCTAAAGGAAAATACCATTTGACTTACCCTTTGTGAGCCTTCCCTAACTTCCAAAGAAACTATCAGACCCTGATTATTTTTTGAAACAGAAGGAGCCAATTTTCTTGTACTTTTGGTTAAATGTATGAACAAATGATGGCAGGTCTGCAAGTATCAGTTAAATTTGCAAGGCAGATTCTGCATGAATTGACTGTCCAAGCTGAAAGCTTTATATTCTTGTATTTCCATTACATGCAAATCCATTGATATTGAAGTAACATATTGGTGTATGAGGCAAAGTTGATGAAAAAACAACATTTCAGAAGCTTGTAAATTAAACTGCAGGAATTAAAGAAGAGAGTAATTTCCCTCTGCCTGCAATTTCACCTGCAATACCACCAAAGTCACAGTCATCTGTTAAACACTGGTCAGTTAGCTATATGTCCCTTTGGACTTCCCTAACCTTTCCTTCTGTGCTGTTTTCACAACCCCGTGTGCCCTGCTTCTTTGCACTGAATCTACACAAGTGCCTCAGTTGTGGAAAAAATACAGCTCTGCTCTGAATAGGAAGATTTTATAATCTGTATTTATGTGTGTGTATGCATACATCTACGTATACATGCATACATGCATACACGTGCATATAGCATGTTACATGTGATACACCTTATCATGTATCACCTTAACACCCAACAGTGCTAATAAAGCCCCCTGCAACCTCTGGCAGGTCTATGTTTCAGTACCATCGCAGTAAGAGACCCAGGTTTTACATGTACAGTTCAGTCTGGATTTTGCTGTGAAGCAGACTGCTGAAGCCATCCAGAAGGAGTGGCAGTTGGCATCCAAGAAGCTCTAGGGGCAGTTGGATTTCTTTCTTACAAGAAACATTGTTTGGAGACTTTGAGACCATAATGGGGAAAACTATACTTAAGATGTCAGAATGTACAGCTGTGAGAAGGATATTTAGTGGCAGGAAGGGAAGATTATTTTTATTAAGTTTGCTTATACTTCCTAGGGCAGAGTGAAAAAATAGATTTGATGGGGGTGGAAAAAGCAGGGGGAAGAGAAGAATAAATATATGCAGTTTACAATTGCTGCTTTAAAAATACCAGAACACCACATTTAGGGTCATATCCTGACCTCTGTTGCAGCCAGATAGTTCCATTGACTATAGTGGGGTCATTCAGGATTTGCACTGATGTGTCTGAGATAGGCACCTGGCCTTCTAGGTGCCGGTATGATACATATACATAGATGTATTTTAAAGTAACAGTAACTTTAAAAAAGCTCTCTCTGGGCTTGTAAGCTTTTACAGCTTTCCTTTATCTTGCAAAAACAGGCAGGGGAAGAGAAAGCAAGAGAGGGATCTTTAAGCTCTTGCGTGCCTGCCATAGAAACTACTTGTAATAGAGACCAGTCCTTTTTGCATCGGAGGATAATAAAAGTCAATACAAGTGTTTAGTTTTGGCCATAAAGAATCCAAAAAGAGAGAAAGATGAGGATGGCAGCTAAACTTTCAACTATTTACAAAATAAAATTACAAACCAGCATTCCAGCTTTAACAGGAATGACACATTTATTGCTTTCCCTGTAGCACTGAGAGCACTATTTATTGTCTCTTAAGGACTACGTGGCAGGTTAACAATGCCTTCAGTTTTACGCTAGCAAAAAAAGAAAGCTCACTAATGAAATGGCCTGCCCAGCTTGTTTAGGGGTATAATGATTTCTTAGCGGTACAGTACTCTATGAATAAATATCTCCAGCAAGCTTGGTATATTAACATGTGGTATTTGTTGAACTTTTTTTTCCCCGATATTCCTTTTCTGAGGTTGGGGGAGATAGAGAGAGGATTAAAATTGTTGAAAAGCTAAATCTAGCTAACTAATTCTAACTTCATTATACTGTTTTAAAATTCTCCCTACACAGAAGAGATGCCGGATTTACAATACTAATCCGAAGAACAGAAGAGGTATCGAGGGTATTCACAATCATGGTATTTCAGCTTTCCTGCATTACTGCTTGTACCAAAGCTGTCCTCTGCGGTCCCACACCTACCTTGCAGATGATTTGTCTGAGACTGCAGATGGGGCTTCCTTTTGGAGGCGCATTTCTCTTTGCTGCTGTTCCTGTTCTCTGTTGGTTTGGTCTGAGGAGGGTCATCACTCGTAGTCAGATATTTGAGAAGTTCAGAGCAGGGACGTCTTTGAGGCTTTTGCTGTTGACAAATGCTCTTCGCTTTATTGCTCCATGAATTCTCACTCTTAAAAACACAGCAAAATAAAATAAAATAAAATAAAATCAGTGAGCTGAACCTTATCAGAATGGATATAGGTTTTCTAAAGAGATGAGATTTTCAATGAAGTGTTCAATTTAAGTGTACTAGATCTATGAGCTGTGAATAATTGTTTGCAGAACAAGGAAAGAAAATTACATTTAAAATTCCTAAATGACATTTATGCAGCTTTTTATTTCATTTCTCCTACATTTCAATGTTCCTACTCACCAACATGTAACTAACAAGACCCTACAGCGCCTTTACTGTGAACAAAAAAATAAGCTGGTTTAAACCTTAATTTGTTGCTGATTGCTGGAGCCCAGTATTCACAACTCTCTTAAGTACCCCTAAACGCTCCGTTTTTAGTTACAGTGAACGGCAAGACAAACATTGTTTAATACTGCCTGCTAACAGAATTATGTCAGAGCCCCCCATTCTATCCCATTAATGGCTGATATACATCTTTTTCCAAGAATCCAGTGTCATTTTTCTTAGCTCAGACAGCTGGTAAAATGGTAGTCCCACATCCTGGAGTCACTCATAAACAACACCAGCCCATCAGCAGATTTTATCGTACCCCCTACTACTCTGTGTATCAATAAAGTAGGCAAGAGCAACAGACGGTGGGACAACAACTGAACTCTGCCAAGAGAAAAAGCATAAATGAAATATTCAGAGCATAAAGGAGCTCAGGTAATTTTCTAGAACCCAGTCTATAATCTGTTCATGTTTTTTTTTTTAAAGCAGTTGCAAGACAGTAGGCAGATTAATACAATACATATAGATCTACTGCTTGCTTGGTTGCTGAAAGCATTAAAGACCTTGTTACACTTTTTCTTTTTTTTTCTTTTTTACCTTATTACAAAGATTTAAGTTTGTACCTTAACAACCACAGGGCTTGTTCTGATCCTGTGATTAGTGTTTGCATGGTTTTGTGTGCTGAGACCACTGCATTCATTGTAATTTAGCTGAGTGTTGGCTGGAGCCAGCAAGAGCTTCTTAAGCTACAAACACATCAGGGAAAGGGAGGTGGAAGGAAAAGAGTAAAGTTATGCATCTTTATGGATTAAAATGACTTATCTACATTTTTGCATAGTTACTTAAAATTAGCTATATCAATTTCATCAAGCAAAGTACAATAGAACAGAAAGAAGGGCTCGATATTCACCAGAGCAAACAGATTTCATTTCCTTCTGGCTTGGCAGCATATTTCTGCTCGCTTTACTGCAGTACACTGCAGGGCAAGCAGAAATGACAGGGGTCTTGGATTTCTGAATCTACAGCAAAATTAAATTCTTGGTGATCTTTTTGACAGAAGAGGCCTCTGATCTAAATATAGATGTTAAATTTAACAGACTAATGGATACAGCGTCAAGATGCACGTATCTGGCTCTGCTTCTGCAGAAGCCAGTGACAAGGGGCTTTCAACAGAAACAGAACCACATCTCAAACTGGTTTTACTAAGCAAAATGTGTATCAGGTTTCACCCACATCCTCACCCAAGGTTTGGGTTTGCCCTGATTTAGCACTAAGCTGGTGCTTACTGGTCAAATCAATGCTAAATGCAGAAAATTAGCCCCATGGCCCATCAGACTCAATGGGCCTTTATTTACCGATCACCAAAAGTGACATATAAACATACATACAGAAAGAGCCCCGAGAAATGTAATATGGATTAAAAACCATTATCCTAACTTATTTGAACAGAATGAAAAGCAAAAGTGTCAGCCATTAGCACAAGAATCTCAAAACCAATCTCTTCAACACACTTTTAAATAGATTGCCTTATTACTCATCCTATGGCTATCTGGTGGGGTTTTTTTCCCTGCTTAATCTTCATTTCTTTACTTGATTTTCCTTTCCAGTCTAAATGAAAAGTCCAGACCTTACTGTGACTACATCATACCCATGCAGTGGGTAGCCAGAGGCACATCCAATTCCTGTTAAACAGTAGGAAGGATTCTTACTAGAGACGGCTCTTCTGCCTCCTGAGTTGGAGGGGTGCCGTCAGGCATTGGGGAAGGGCTAGCGGCATTTTCGTTGGTCACATCTCCATCGGTCAGTGCATCAAATGAAGGCAATCCATCCTCATCCACAGGGATGCTGTCCAGTGTTTCAGTGAGAACAGCTAGCAAGTTTGCCTCACTCTCTTCATCTATCTTCTGTGGGAGAGGACAAAACAGAAAGTGGTAACAGGTGAGAAGAGAAAAAGAGCAAAATGATGCCTCTGTATGCGAAAAAGCAGTCAAAACATAGTTAAACCAGCCCTTGAAACAGTAACCTGCAACAGAATCTCAGAAGACGCAATTAAGTGCAATAAAATGATCCATCTCTGCATTCAGGAGAAACCTCTTTGCACTTGCAGTGTATTGCTCTAGTTTACTTTTCTTCCACAACTCTTTTTCAAAATCAGGTGTTAACAATGATAAGTAATCACCCAGGGATTGTATTACAGGATGTGCCTACGCTGCTGACACCTAATGATGGTGTCAGCCCAGGCTGTCTCTTTCTTTCTCTTTTCAACACTGAACACCAGCTGACTGACCTGACAAAATTACTGGAGTCAGAGAATCAGACAGCTAATCAGAAGACCAAAATGAATCACCAGTGAAATCTGGGAAAACCTTGTTCACATAGGCGGCTCGGTGTAAGCCAGAAAGGGTTTCTCTTTCACACTACTGGAAATCCTTGCTCCAAACCCAAACAAACAACTTCTCATTCCTGAGCATTTTGGCGTAAGACTAGCCATCAGGACCTATATTGTAAATGGCAGACTCTTTGGGTTTCTTCTAAGGACATGTATTCGGCAGGTTGCCTTTGAAGTCGTCCTTTTGAGTTATGTCGCTTGAGTGCTCAATGTGACTATTGTATGCATTTATCTAATTCAGACTGCAATTATAAAAAGTAGATTAATTCCTAATCAGATGTGGCTGTAATGTTAATTTATATTAGATATCTTATTTCAGCAACAACACTTCTTTTTGTCAAATTGAGTAAATTTAAATGTCTTCTGATTTTTTAATGAAATACAGTCCCTACTGTATATTAAGGTACAGATTTTTGGAGTCCTGAGAGTTCTGAGGAATAGAATTGTGTAAAAATCATTATATTTATTTTTTCAAAAGATTGGAAATTGATCTTGACAGATCAATTATCTGGGATTCCTAGGCTGATCCTAGTGCTATTAAAGTAAACAAAAAGCCTTCCACTGATTGATTCTAGGGATATCAAATTGTGAGTTCTTCCACCAGCTTCAGAGTGGCTCATCATGCTCCAGGTTCACACTCCAAAGAGATTTCAGGTAAGTTCCAATCTCACAGTTTAAGAGTGACCTAGCAAGGAATACACCAGTAAGACAAACAAAAGCTCTCCCTTTGAAAAAAAAAAAAAAAAAAGTTAAAAAAGTCAATAACAAAACATTGCCAGTAACACGTCAGAACTGAATAAAAAAAAAAAATCAACAGAATCTGTGTATCACTTCAGCATGGCTTTTTTTCCAGTAATACTGTATCTATCGGACTCCAAACAGAGATGCTCATAAACCACACAGATAATTCCTCCTGCCAGGCTTCTCCTCCAAATCACACCTCATGGCTTCTTACAGAAAAGCTTTGTCTTCTAGCCAGAAAGCTACAGCAGAGCACAGACTCTTCTGGTGTTTACAGCATCATCCCAAGAAACAAACACTCAGGCAAACCTAATGCTAACGAGAAACATTTACTTTAAAGGCCAAAAGGGTCTCGGCCTCTGAGAAAAAGAGCCTAAGTCGTGGTATCTGGTGATTTCCACCATACCAAGCAGACATATGCACAGTGCCACGATAATTCAGTGAGCAGAGTATGGAAATAAGCAGAGGGAAGCCAGCTTGCAAATAAAGCCATGCTCCAAATGCACCACTTCACAGCCACTTTTTGAGAGAAGAGAAAAATTATGGTATCACTTCTAGAAAAGTCCAAAAAAGGCATTATTGGGGAAAAAAGTGCTTTGCAATGTAACAAAGTACTGATTTTTTTTTCCAATGGCATTTCCAGCCCCTCACCGGTGGTGGGATGAATAGTGGTGAGAGCCAATCCTCAGCCCTGGGGGGGCCACAGGGGGTCTGGCTGCCTGCCCCCCAGTCCCGCACGAGGAACTTCTCCAGCAAGTCTAGCTGGTGGGGTGCACCGCTGAGCCCTGCAGCTTATAAAGCTGACAACAAAGCTGGAAGTGTTACTATTTCTAAAGGGGAATGCCTTCTTTAATAATAGCATGCCAGAAGAAATCCTGATATTTGCTGTTAGCTGCTCAGCTCTCGTGCTTTAAACAGACATTCAAGTGCACTGACATTCAAGAACAGAAAGTTGAGTGGACACCCGTCCTCATCACAGCAATTTCAATTAGTTTTGTACAAGTTTCAACATTCAAACACCCCAGAGAAAGCAGAGGATGTGACAAAGAGGACTCTGTTAAACAATTAATGTCACTTTCCATTATTGCTTCAGTCCCAATTTACAGAGCAAATAAATCAAAGTCACCACAGATGAAGCACACTAGCTGGCTAACACATGTCTATTCACAAACGACATGGCAGCAGGAACACATTAGTCAAGAAAATGACATTGCTAGATAACCTTTTAAAGGTTTAACTATGCTATTGCTCCTAATTATCCTAAATTACTGTTTATAAAGAAACATAATTATTAGATACAGCAGAAATGGTGCTGAGGGGAGATGCAGAGGGAGAGACGGTTGGGTACCTCAATGTCTGAGCAATAATCACTGAAGCAGCAGCTTTCTGCTCTGCTATTGCAACCTGAGTCTTGGTGTTGACAGCACTGGGGAGAAGCAACGCCATGGCCAAATGCAGGCTCTTTCACAGTTTCAGCACTGCCTCTGCACAAGTTCACATTTCAGACTGGCACCCAACTTGCGCATCACACAAGCTCGGTTAATCAGGAGGAGCTCAGCACCTTTGATCTCTGCCAAGGTCAGAGGATGTGCCATGTTCTCTCAGGAACTCACTCCACCATGTCCCTAACTTCCAAGCAGGGTCACACTGAAAGGGTTTGCTTCCATCTAAAGGAGGAGATACTAAGTATTTAGACCACCTAAGTGAAGTAGAGTGAGTAAGAAAAAGGGATGGAGGGTAATCTTGAATGTAAAGCCGCACGACAAATACATACAAGTACTAAAAACTTAATGAAAATAATTCATAATGATGGCATCTTGCTAACTAAGGGGTCTTTTTAATGCAGAAGCAGTTATGCATCACTTCCCAGCCACACTGCATGGACTCCTTAACATCCTTGGTTGTTAGTTTAACATAAAGACATTGGGCCAGAGGTTTTTTGACCGCTGTAACTTTCCATCCAGCTGAAGGAGGCAAAAGAACCCGAGTACATCACTGAATGAACGTGCTTCCATGTTTCTGACATCAGAAGTTTCTAGTATATCCAGAAAGGTGTTAGTTCCAAAAAGAAATAAGATTTGGCATTAGTGTCACTGTGTGTGGGCGAACCCAATAGGGAAAGCCAGCTAGTGCTGTAAACTGCCAGAACACCAACCAATCCTCAAAAATTAGTGATCCAGGAGCCTAAAGACGATGAAAAGTTTCTAACTGCACTCTTCTCTGCTTTTACATGTTTTGCTCTAATGCTTTAATATTACTACAGCACTAAAAATAATTCTCTGTCTGAAAACACTTTATTAGTTGTGTAACAATGTTATTCTAATTGGGTTTCTGCCTTCAGTAAAATGTCTCCAGAGATATTCTCTCTTTGGTCAGTGAAAAGCTATCTGAAGTGAGTTGATAATTTACCCACACAAAGGTATTTAAATCCTCTACCCCTGATAATTCTTTCTCTTTTGCTTGTTCTGCCTATTGATGGAGCTGAGTTACCTCGTGGTTAGCATTTTACGTCCGTAACACCTGTTACTTGTCAGCAAACCCATTACAGAGGCCAAAGACTGAGCTGTAATGGAGACTCGGCCACCTTGTCTTCCACGTGTCCCTTTAGGGTGCATATATTGAGCAATGTTGTGATTTTTCCGTATTATTTTCTTTAAAAAAATCATGCAAAATTTTAAAACCACTGTCATTACCATCACCAATCCCTTTTTGAAAACCTTGAAGCCGGTGTGCAGATGTCCTGACTCGGGATTCTCCTGTAGCGCTCCCACAATCAGTATGGGTATGCCGACTCTCTCCAGAAAAGGGTCAAGCCCATCATTTAGAAAATAATTTCCAAATGTTAACAGTATCTCCAACATATTCCCTCTGGTTGATTCCCCTCCGCCTTTCATTTGCAATGTACATGCACAGCTTTTGCTTACTGAAATCAGCTAATGAATGATGATGCTCTACAGTTTCTTTACTGGTAACTTGAACAGTGCAGGGGCCTGTTGTGGTTCATCCTGAAAGATCTCGGTCTAAACTGCGGTATTAATCCACAGCCCCAAGGAGCTGGGAGCAGTAGCAGTTTGCCACGTCTTCGTAAAAAGCCCAGGAGACTTTGGGACAGATCTGCAGCTGGTAGAAGCTGTCACCGCTCCAGCAGCCCAGCTCGCTAAGCAATTCAGAGCAGCCAGGTGTACACCTGAACTCACAAGGGATCACCATTTCAATGTATCGACTCATTTCTCCTCAGTAGTCTAAGATCTATCCATAGCACAATTAACAAAGAAAATAGAAGATTTTCCTCCAGCTGAAAATATCTGAGTGATCTAAAAATACTAATACATTAGGACACTACTTTCAAAAGCACAAAAATGACTTGTGAGCACATCTGGGACTTCCAACAGGATTTAATTCCTTAATGACACATTTTGGAATAAGAATGTCCTTATGATTCACACTGCTAGGAGAAATGAGGAGTACAGATTAGCCCTTTTTGCACATAGGGGTGCAGAGGCACCGAAAACCTCACCAACACCAGCCCAGCCCTGAGCCCCTCCCACCAGCAAGCATGCAGCTGTAGGAGCAGATGGTATCTCAGTCCTGGCCCCACAAACCAAGCTTTTCCACCCGAGGATAAGGAGCCGCAGGCTGGGCAGAAGCACAAGGAAGGTAGGAGGAGGGAAGGGGATTAGGATGCAGGTCTTCCTGCTCCTGCTAGTGAAAAATGAGAGCTGAGGTCAGGGACGGCGAAAGGGAAGAATTACAGCCCAAGTTTTCTCTCTTCTG